ACTATGTTACCTTCGTTGAAGATGTGAGTAAACCTGAACGCTGGTGTGAGTGTACGTGTCTTTATAATTATGCCTGTGTGTGTGTGTGTGTGTGTGTGTGTGTGTGTGTGTGTGTGTGTGTGTGTGTGTGTGTGTGTGTATGTGTGTGTGTGTGTGTGTGTGTGTGTGTGTGTGTGTGTGTGTGTGTGTGTGTGAGAGTCTGTCTAGGTATATGTGCGTGCATGCGTAAGAGTAATTTTGTTGGTGGACTCTCTCTCCAAGCGGCCACCACTGCATGGCCTTGTAAGAAGAAGTTTTAGTGAGTTAGTTATGTCGACGACCGCGGCCTTGGGGTCTAACCCCCGGCCGACCGGATACGATATATGACCAGACCGGTAACACACCGAGCATGCAATTCTGGCGCCAGAATTAGAGATATTCCGCCCTCTCTTCAGAATGACGGAATTGGATAGAATCAATTCTAACGACGGAATTTGTCACTTTTTGTGTAATCGAACTGTGCATCAACAATAACTAATTCTAGAATTGACGGAAATGCGTGTGATCGAAAGCGCCCTATATGTACATGTATGTGTGACCGCTGCATCGTGTGTTCCGCGAAAGCGGCTGCAGTAGTTACGCTTTTTGCCTCCACTACGGTACAAAACCGCATACAACTTACAAGCATCATGTTCTTTAGAGTGGTCATGGAAACATGCGCGGAAAGTGAAAAATCACATCAACGTTCAAATCCATCCCGGAGCGGCTTTGAAGGCGGCTTTGAAAGCGGATTTCGGCTTTAGTTTTCAGGCAAGAAACAAGTGGTTTGGTGTGTCGAGTGCGCACAGTTTTTTTTATTTTTTGGAGAGTCCGGTACCATGCCTCGAGTTGTCTTTTCTCCCAAGGTAGGGCTACGGCTGATAGAACTATGGGGAAAATACCGCGGCTTATTAGTGGCCGAACTGTGAAAAGGAGTAGCCTCAGTCAGCATGATCAAAACGCGACGCAGACACCAGATCAAGGTGTGGGTCCTCTTTCGGCTAAAGTTTCGTTGGCGAAAGGCGGACTCACGCCCCTACATGGCTACTTTCCATTGTCTAACCCCCAAGACGTAGCCGACTGGCCGAAATAAATAAATAAAAACGCGAGCGGCTCAGGATGAATGACTACAATGACGTCAATGTACTGTCGCGGACTTGGACATCCAGTCGATTGACCAGGGCTGTAGAGCCGGCGCCCTCAGCGCGTACAGAACGTCGTCGTTGCATGCAGCGCACATGTTGATACGATGCGACCAGCAGCAGCGCGTAGTATGCATGCCATGGCTGCATGGCCAGCGCCCTGGGGCCGCTAGACGTGCGACCGGATTTCCATGTCCACGACAGTATAGTACATGCATGATGATGATGTGTTGTGTAGAGTTAGGGACTTCAGACCACGTGATTTTTTGGCCCAAAAGCGTGCAAATCGCCGCCTGCACAAATCGTGTGATGGTCATATGTCAAGTCGTGTAAAGAAATGTGGAACCGTTTTTCGAAATGAAGGAAGTCTTGTACAGTTGGAGAAAGTTTCGGTTCGTCTTGTTGGAGCTTGCCTTCGTTTGGGACCAGCAAGAATGGAGCTGTTACGTTCATTTTTGACGGAGATACGTATGCGGATGGAAGGGAAAGGTGAGAAACCATATGATCCGTCCGGGTCCCCTTCTTGAAAATGTGATATTCGTATTCTACGACCTCGAATTAGTCTAGATAGAAGGTAATCTTTATTGTTTTCACCTTCCAGAAGACCTATTTCTTGCATTATTCCTCTTTGTACTTTGCCGTGCAGCGCAACCATAGTCACAGTATGGAAAGCAGCGAGGAGTATCCTGCGCTAAATGATGCTGATGTACAAATTGAATTGCTCTTTGCTGTTTCAGTCCATGCCTCGATTCTTGTCTCCAATGCTATTATGCTCGATCTGGTTGAGCTCCGCAAGAATAGCTGAAAGAGTTCCGAACTGGGAGATGTGCTGTATACTCTTGTTGCTATTTGCTGTATCTTTGCTGATGATGATGTGCGTGCTACGATTACCCCAGCCAATACAATGTCCTGTACATGTACATGTTGAGCTTAGTCAGTGCCTCTTCCGTGATCATTCTTTTTCTTGACACCAACCACGCCAACAGTCCGAAGCTATCTTAGGACTGTATTATCAATGTCTCCTTTTACTACCCACTACATTGTAAACCATACTATCCAGCTATTTCATGCGGAGAATCAAGATTGTTTTGGATCTGGTGTGCGGTTGCTATGCGTTGCCAAGGAAAGTGGGTTCTCTCAGTTTGACATATCTCTCTGATCTCAAATGTGTGGGACGTTTGTCGGACAAATCCGGTGATAGGCGATGACTATTTTGCTTGTAACTTTAGTTTCCTTTGTCCGATTTAGAAAAACTAAAGACCAAACTCCTCAGGAAGCTCTAACCTATCCAAAAAGCAACACATAAGCCACAGAAAACCGATTTGAAAAAATGGTCTGAAGTCCCTAGTAGAGTGCTGCTGTGGATGCCGCCAGCCTTTTTACGTCCTTTGCCTTTGCCTTGGCTGTAGCTACTGCCTGTAAAAAATAGGATGTACAGGTTCCTGCACGAGTATGAGGGCAGTACCGCGGAATCCTGCCCGCGCCGCGATAGCGGCAAGGGCTGGATGATCTGAGCAGCGGTGCTGACCGAGTATGAGTGACTGGAACGTGTTTCCCGTATGCACCCAAGCCAAGGAGATCACTCACAATCTTTGAAGTTTGAGTTTACATGAACCATTCTGTGACTTGACACAAGTCCTGTATGGCTGTATGAGGCTGTGCCAGTGTGAGATGAGTGAGAGTGACTTCGACAACCGCACACGGACTACAGACTCAGTACACGACTTTTGCATTGTACTTTCAGACCACAGAAGCTTGTCATTGAAATGGTAGACTCATGAGTGGATTCTGTCCACTGCATGCCCGTCGTCAAGTGACGACGGGCAGTGGATTCTGTCCACTGCCCGTCGTCACTTGACGACGGGCAGTGGAACTAGTTCCATCACCATTCATCAGGCAGGATCGCGCTTTCCAGCCCGCGTAATTTGATCTGTCATTGGTCGACTCCAAGTCCAAGGCGACAGTCATGTGACATACGGGAACTCATTTTATCTGCCCTGCCTTGCTTCTACAGTGGCGGATCCAGGACTTGGCCGAAGAGGGGGCCCAAGGTATCCGTCCTCCCCCCTCCCCCCCCCCCCTTCCCAAAAAAACAACAAATACAACAACAACAAAGTCCTGAAGTTGTGAAGAGCTGTTGTATTTAGGGTCCGGCGGATTCTGCCGGCAGAAAAATTGGCAGAATTCGGTACTTTTTCTGGTAAGTTTCATGCATGTTTGGTATGTGGATAAAAAAAAAATGGAGGTTTGTATGGTTCTGCCAATTTCACTGCTTTTCGAGCAGAATATGCCACCTTTTCGAGCAGAATCCGCCGGTCCCTAGTTTTATTCCATTCTCACGACATTTTCAAACTGCACTGGAACATTTCCACTCGACAGCGGCTGCGAGGGACCTTTGGACGGCTCTTCAACGCGAACTCTCTTATCTACCGGTCCACTGAAGAACGACCTGATGTCAGACCCTTTCCTCTTCATCGCATATCTGAAGGTAAACCCGTTGGCTACACGCGAAGTAGAGAGAGCGTAATAGTTTCTGACAAGTGAAAAAGAAAAAAGGAAGGACGAAGTCGACAGCACCGTGCACCATACAGGACTTCAGCCCAACGCGATCGCTGCACTATGCACCAGGCCCTGCATTTTTGGCACGTTTTTCACATGTTTGAAGTGCGGCCGTGTCCTCAGGTCGCAGTGCGTACAGTAGTTGTACACAGCGCGCTGGCTAGTACAGTGCGTGACACCGGGACACTTATAAAAGTACGTAGCACGCGTGACCCACTTGACACGGCAAGTCAATTTTCGAGCGCTCATTCTACAGTCTACTGTAATCCTAGACCAAGGTCGAAATTTTCAAAGGGGGGGCCCAGGCCCCCTGGGCCCCCCCCTGGATCCGCCACTGTTCTACTACGATTTATCCCGGCTGTTTACCACGTGACGTGTACGTGGGTGAACAAACAGGCGCCTAGGCCTGTTCTACATAATCTTTAGTACAGGCGACATCGCTCACTAGCACTGTTGCATGTGATGACACTTGAACAGCTAGTCCGCCTCTGCTCTGGCAACACAGACAGTCGGCTTCATTTCATAATTGGTGTGGGAGCATCATGTCAGCAGAAAGGTCGGCCAGCAATGAATATAACTTGTTATGTAGACCTACATATGGATGTACACGAGTAGCACTGTACTTTTGTAGTGTGGAGCAGGCAGTAGAATCTGATGTCATGTTGTACAGTCATGTACATAATCTACGCGTAAATCTACATCTTCTGACAGATCAGACAGATGAATGAAGCCACAGAGCTCTGGCCGCTGGAGCGTGCAGCGAACGTGTAGAGAGGATCTTGGACTGCTGCACCGTCCGTGCTTTAATTGAATGCGGAATGGTTTTTTTCTTGCTCGTTGCCGTCTGTGGGTGTTCTGGGCGGATGCGTGTTCTGCTTGCGGCCCTTCATATTGTTGTTTTCTGGGAGTTTGAGTGACGCTCCGTCGCAATCTGGTTGCGGAAGTGAAGCGCTTTCGTTCGTTACCTGCCCATCGGCAGGTGGCGTTTAGATTTGTGGGACTACCAATCGTCCGTGTCAACGTTACCAGAATAGCGGACGCCGGACAGGAACCACCCGGCCGTTATCGGGAGCAGGTGCTTCTCCCTGGCTTGAAGTCAGGTAAGCATCTCCTATTCAGTCCCTATGTTTCACTGAAGCCAAGGTGTGCGCTGAGTTCTAGTAGCACAGCAGCCCTAACCCGTAACGATTTATTGGAAAAGGCTTCTGCTGATGTACAGTACTCCGTGTCGTGTGCTCACATTTGTCCGCATGGTATTGAAGCGCAGCAACGGCAATTCAAACGCGAAGGAATTTTTGGCTTCTGCAATATCCACTCACTCTCAATCCGTGTGCTTTACAAGCAGAGAAAATTAGTCGATGAATAATTTCGTCAAATTCCAAAGAAGGGACTTCTTCCAATCGGAAACGGTGACCTTTCACCAGAAAAACAAAATTATTTGGAAAGTTTTTTTGAGCTGAAGGTTTAGTGAAAAAGTTGTCAGCGCTTTCTAGGTTCTGCTCAGTGCCACCATAGCTTAGATAGTTAGAGCTATGCTCATGACAAGCAAGGTCGCAGGCTCCAGTCCTGTTGGATTTGCATTTTGTTCTCTTTTCAGGCAGTCCTAATCCCTGACAGATCACTTTGCAGGGGCGCCACCAGGTTCTAAAAAAGTTTTACGGCCGAAAGGAGGCGAAAAGAAAGAGGGGGTCTGGGGGACACGTCCCCCTTAAAAAATCTTATTATCGGGAGCAGGTTTCGTCACTACAATTGTCGCTTCGCACATCGCAATGTTTGTGACTTGATTGTCTTAGTCAGGCTGTCGGAATCACTGTTTTCTGTGTTCGAACATTGGTATGACCCTTCCCTCGCAATTGTTACGAAAGCCGTTGTGATCTTGGAGCTCTCTTCCGCACCAAACAAATTCTTCTCGTTTCGCACTATTTCGCCCAGAGTGAGTATCTTTTTCCTGGAGTTCATACCGGTCCACATTCCCACGTGAACCGTGAATTAAAAAAAATGCTCAGGGATACGAATCCTGGTATATCTCTTGAATTTGGCATGCTGAAGTTGACAATGGCAAGAACAAAGTGTTCTCAAATTCCTGAAATTCGCTACATGTGGTGCATGTTGCTGCGAAGGTAGCAGGCCTGAAAACACCAACAAAACCAGCGAAGCGCTTGTCAAGGAAAGAAGGTGCGGAACTGCTTACCCTATCTCGCTGGTGGTCGTTACGGTGTACTTCAAAAATGCTAGTTTGCCGTCATCGCCTGCCACCTGGAGTCATCGATTGCTTGAAAACGAAGTTTCATGACCTAAAATTTGAGCTCGCTTCTTGTTCACCGTTTTGTTGAGTACTGAAGGGTCTGCCTTAATTTCTGGTGAAGACGTTGACCCCAGCCGCAAGTGCAACAAAGCGGGAGGCCACAAACTTCTAGCTGACTTCTTCATTTCAAGTGGACAAAATAAATTTGAAAAATCGCTCTAGAAAGCGACAATTGTAATGATGCGGAGAAAGTAAAAACGAAGTATATTGAGTTGCTCTTGTTCATTCAAGCCCTCTCGTTGTGTATCTGTGTGTGTGTGTATCTGTGTGTGTGTGTATCTGTGTGTGAGTGTGTGTGTGTGTGTACATCGTAGGGCCCTCATTACCTGGCGTATCATACGTGGCCTGCTACATTACCATACCAGTAAAGAATGCTGGTCAAATATTCAAATAGGGCTTTCAACGCAAGGTTCATAACGTGAACCAACGTGGTAGGATATGTATGCGTGCAAAGTGTATGGAAGGAATGCATGCAGGGAGATAGTTTGTGTTTCAATACCACGTTCTGTGTGCCAAAAGGAAGAAGAAAAAAAATGATAAGCTAGCACCATAGCATATTACAACTATTCCGTAAAATGTACCTGACATGTCAGTGTGTGTTCAGGATCAAACCCCGTGTTATGTATGGAAAAAATGACAAAATATTAAAATGCAACCGTCGTACACCACTACTCGATTCAGAATCTGGGGAATCCAGAAAATTAATGATTGGTTTACAAATGAGTGGGCTGGAAATACCAGTCCCCTTGCTATGCTTTGCTTTCACCTAGGTCATGATGCGTGTCACTTCAATTTCTTACACTTCTATAACACTGAAAGAAACGTCTTTTCAATAATATTGTGATTATCGCATGATATATTTTTGAAACTCGGATGTTGAGCGGATAATAAATGAGCCGGAGCACGAAAAAATATGACCACAGACCAAAAATTCGATTTTCAGTTTTTTGTTTAACCCTTTACCTTCTGACCATAATTCCCAGGCAGTTCCAAATACGATATTTCTCACCTCATTCTGAGAATATCTTTGGTTATAATCAACCGATTTTCACACTCTTGGGCATTCTGGAAAGCTCTCCACGAGCTGCGTACAATGAGCTCAAACTGGACACTACTGAGATCACATATCCAACGCCAGGGTGCTTCAAATACTCCCCATCGCTGGGTATCCGAGAAAATTCTCTCCTCGTCAGCCATTTCTCACTCCTTCATCGTAAACATTTCAAATTTGTTGTCCTGGGTTTCTTTTTATGCTGCCCACGCGCTCAAAACATGCACAGGTGACTCAGCATGTCAGGAGAGGGAAATCCCCAGCTCAAGGCCAGTCACTCAGAAAAAAATCGACTTTTGCCGTAACTGAAATGTCGAGCGCGATATCTTTGGAATGCGGCATCGCAGCTCTTCGCCGATTGTGGCAATGAACAGCTGGGCTCTTCGGCTTCTTCCTATATATTTAGGTTTTGAGATTCCGTCGAGAATTGATCGAGTTACGAATGTTTTAGTGCATGCATGTCCATCGACCAAATTCGGTCGATTCATGTACACACAGAAGGTAAAGGGTTAAAAATGATCTAACACACCTAATGTTCACTGTCTGAAAGTTTTGGATTGATCGGACATGTCTAAGTGTTGCTACAATGGTATTATATGCAGCACTGTTGAAATGGCGATATTCTATGTACAGCAATGGGATTGTCATTTTTGCACACAATTGATATGCCCCTTGGTTCATCCTTTCCGGGTCAATTCCTCTGTCCAGGGTCTTATAGCATGAGCTGACAGGTACTCAGCCACATCCAAATTGTCTATAGGCAGCTGAGCTGCTTGTCCGGAATGCCTCCTGTTTGGAGCACCACTGGAGAACCGCCAGCGAAAACACGGTCAACATCTGTAGCTGGCGGAAGAAGTTGGTACTCCATGTCCTCTCCATCACACTCCACCTGTACTTTCAGATATACAGTGTACACTGCTGCACACAGTCTTCCTCAACATACTAGACGTCGCACTCATATTCCCCACACCAAAGCCCATCTGCACACGGTTTCTCCGCTCGCCAGAGAGTACTGCTTTCGCTGCATACTGCTCATGCTAGCGATGTTCCGCATAAAGGTACTCAAATTATCGACTTGAGCAAGTTGAGGGAGCAGCAGAGTCCATTGATTGTTTTTGCACTTGCAACCAATACTGGCATTGTCCCGGATATGTGCAGCGATGTCCATTCTGGCCAAATCATCGGCCGACTCACCTCCCAAGTCAGTGTCGATGCCAATCGCTTGCCAGGTTGTCATCAGAGTAGAATTCCTCGTCACTGCAGATCGTGGGACTACCAGCATCAATTCTTTTTACGCTCGATGAAAGTGTCGCCCTCAAATGACTCGTCGCTGTAGCCATCATCGTCTTCCTTCTGTTTCCGACCCGAATCCTCAAAATAGTTTATCCTGCGCATGGAGTGCGATGATGTCGTCTTCTTCCGCTCCGCAGTACATTACTACTACTAGGCTCTTCTGTCGATACATCGATGACGATCAGTTTTAGGCGACTCAGCGCAACATGGAATACAAACTCAAACAAATAAACTTACTTGCAACAAAGAATTACATCCGGAACAGTCCAGTCGACCGAGCTAGCTCCGCGAGGAGAACAACAACAGCGACTCGCGTTGCAGTGCACTTCGTATTTTTTGCCGCGGAATTCAAATCGCGATTATCTCGACTTTTTCAAAAAAAGCTGTGGTCATGTTTTAGCGCGCTCGGGCTCAAATATAGAAATGAAAAGTACACATGGATACGAGTTCAGAGTAACTGTCCACCATTAAGTAGTTACTATAGTAACTGGATACTATAGTATCTAGTTACTATAGTAACTTTATACTATAGTAACTAGATACCATAGTAACTAGTTACTATAGTAACTAGATACCATAGTAACTAGTTACTATAGATACTAGATACCATAGTAACTAGATACTATAGTAACTAGGTACTGTAATACCGGAAAGTCTAACGAATAAAAAGTTTAACGTTTTTGTAATTTTGGCATGATAACGTGCAGAAAGTTTAACGATGGCTACCTGGCCACCCTTCTGTATGCGCATCTTTACACAGAAATCTAGCGATAACGTATTTTTCAAATAACGAAAAAGAATTGGCCGCTAAAACGTTAGACTTTGTGACTCGCTAGACTTTGCTGTTATACAGTAACTAGATACTGCTATACAGTAACTAGATACTGTTATACAGTAACTAGATACTGTTATACAGTAACTAGATACTGTTATACAGTAACTAGATATTGTTATACAGTAACTAGATACTGTTATACAGTCACTAGATACTGTTTTACAGTATCTAGATATTGTTATACAGTAACTAGATATTGTTATACAGTAACTAGATACTGTTATACAGTCACTAGATACTGTTTTACAGTATCTAGATATTGTTATACAGTAACTAGATATTGTTATACAGTAACTAGATACTGTTATACAGTCACTAGATACTGTTTTACAGTATCTAGTTACTGTTATACAGTAACTAGATACTGTTATACAGTAACTAGATACTGTTATACAGTAACTAGATACTGTTATACAGTAACTAGATACTGTTATACAGTAACTAGATACTGTTATACAGTAACTAGATACTGTTATACAGTAACTAGATACTGTTATACAGTAACTAGTTACTGTTATACAGTAACTAGATACTGTTATACAGTAACTAGATACTGTTATACAGTAACTAGATACTGTTATACAGTAACTAGATACTGTTATACAGTAACTAGATATTGTTATACAGTAACTAGATACTGTTATACAGTAACTAGATATTGTTATACAGTAACTAGATACTGTTATACAGTAACTAGATATTGTTATACAGTAACTAGATACTGTTATACAGCAACTAGATACTGTTATACAGTCAGAAAGGGTTTAACAAACCAGTTACAGTCGACATTCTTTGTTGCCGTGGGACTGTGGCTTGTGCTCGTTTTCGTTGCGCTTACCTTCCCCTCTTTGGTATCTTCTTAAATTAACCTTGGACCTTCCGAGTTGGAAGGCTGTTGGTTACCGCTACGGAGATGTGTTGAAGTTAGGTGTCAGGTCGTCGAATGTCTCAGTACTCTGTCAGTGTTCTGCCTAGTTGTTCCACTTTCTGACCGTATATAGTATCTAGTTACAGCCCTAGTTAAAAACAAAACATAGCGAGGGCTCTGGACTGTCATTAGTGCCAGTACTGTATCCATACCTGCTCTCTCATTTATAAAACTGAGAACATAAATTCTGCTGGCCCATTGCAACATGAACATGAAACATGTAGTGATGAAAGCAGGGATTTTCCCACTGTCCGTAGGATTTCTAATAATCAGACAGAATAGCGTGCAAAAGTGTTTGTAAGATCCGATCAGCAGAAATCACCGTTTAATGTGTAAAAGTGTCTGCAGGTGCTGGTAGTCGACAATGTGTGGATTTGTCTGTACATGGTAGTATATGACAGTGTTGCTGTGTTTGTGTGTTGCTGTGTTTGTGTGTTGCTGTGTTTGTGTGTTGCTGTGTTTGTGTGTTGCTGTGTTGGTGTGTTGCTGTGTTTGTGTGTTGCTGTGTTTGTGTGTTGGTGTGTTTGTGTGTTGCTGTGTTTGTGTGTTGCTGTGTTTGTGTGTTGCTGTGTTTGTGTGTTGCTGTGTTTGTGTGTTGCTGTGTTTGTGTGTTCCTGTGTTTGTGTGTTGCTGTGTTTGTGTGTTGCTGTGTTTGTGTGTTGCTGTGTTTGTGTGTTGCTGTGTTTGTGTGTTGCTGTGTTTCAGGTATCCGTGTGGTGACAACACTGGTGAAGGGTATTGTCACAAATGGGGCTATGGTCCAGCAAGGATGAGAGCTCCGGCCTCCAGTCACAACCAGCTGACCAGAGTGATCGAGCTCTAGGGTCCAGCATTGATGAGAGCTCCGACCACCAGTCACAACCAGCTGACCAGAGTGATCCAGCTCTAGGGTCCAGCATTGATGAGAGCTCCGACCGCCAGTCACAACCAGCTGACCAGAGAGAGCCAGCTCTCAGGTCTAGCAAGGATGAGAGCATCGACCACCAGTCACAACCAGCTGACCAGAGGGATCCAGCTCTGAGGTCCAGCAAGGATGAGAGCTCCGACCGCCAGTCACAACCAGCTGATCAGAGAGAGCCAGCTCTCTCTGATGGTGCTGGTAAGTGAATTGATTGCTTTAGTTTATGGAGGGACAAAAGTGTAGGACTTGATTTCAAGGGTCATTTCAAGGGTCATTGCATGGTCCACTGCTTGTAATGGCTTTCGTTTCGAGCAAGCCGGGCATATTCATTCGTACGGCTCCATGTGAGATGCAGTGGAACTCGGATAAGAGGTACTGCCTCGGGAGTGGAAAAACGAACTTAGTACCAAGGTTTTGCAGAGCAAACGCTCGCATGGATTTTCGCGTCTGGGCTTGCGAATATTTGTGCGAATGTTCACGCGAAGTTTGTGTTTTCCATGATTTTCGCTCCAAGTAAAGTACGAGTGCACTCGTGCTTGTTTGAGAAGTCGCCTTCGGTAGATCTACAGAGCTTCATCCGACTGAGAATTTATTTGCTGCAAGTGGCTGCACCCTGAGACAAGAGCTTTTTGCATATGTTGTCGATAACCGGAGACCCACAGATAACCATGTTGGCCTGTGCCGCACTCCGGTGCTGCGAACACGCAAACACTCACACAAAGTTTCGCTTTTCGTGATTTTCGAGCAAACAGTTGTGCAAAACGTCTCTAGTATCTGAAGTACTTCTTATCCAAAGTTGACTCTTGCTAGACCCTGCAACATGTACGTGGTTAGTGACACGAAACCAAGCTTCCTTCACTGCAAACAGCCTCCTCAGCACTGTCAACATGCTAAAATACCTGTCGTGCAAACCTGTCAAGTGGAACGGTGTTTGAAAAACACCAAAAAAGTACTTAGTACACTCTGTCTGCACCTGCTGAAAAGTCCTTCATATTACTACTTGCAATTCCTATCATGGTACGTCGTTTCCCAAACACATTTGTATATGAGCTTGCACGTCTTACCCGGGTATGGTCTAAGTGAGTTCCACTGTAATTCTAGAAATGTAATGCAAGAGCCATGAGGCCACAACGTTTGTATGCAACTTTGGCAAGCCATGCATGCAACGTTATACAGCGTGTTGGCAAACGTGGCTTTCTCCGACCTCGTGACTGACGTGAAAACACAGCAAATGCATGCGCAGTATGTAGGAGTGTAGCATTGCAGGAGAGTGAGGGAGAAACCCTGGACATGATAACTTGTATTTCTACCATAGTTGACTGACAGAGAGTCTAATACCGTATTTCCCCGTAAGTTTGTACCTACTCACTTTCGAACTTAGCAACCACATGAGTACTTACTTTCGGGGGTGGTACTATCTTCCGGGGAGTACTTTTTTATCGGGGGTAAATGACACGCAGTGGGAAGCCTGCGCAACTCTAGTGTCCGTGCATATGATGAAGAGTACACATGTACTCTTGATATGATGTATGTACTGTACGGTGTCTGTACATGTAGGACGGGTACGAACTTACTATCTTTCGGGGGAACTGTCTTTCGGGGTGATAACCTCGGCAGTGGAAAGTGTATTTTTTATAGGGGGTAATAAGTCATTGGGGAGAACTTACTTACGGGGAAATACGGCAGTCCAGCAGCCAGGCCCCATAAATATTCACGCCCGTTCCCACTTCGAGCACACAACAAATGGACACCTAAAACCTGACCATGACACCTAGTGCTCCCTATAAATCACATTATTTCCTTTAGATTCAGGATGCAAGGGCATAAAATACGGAAGAAATTGTTTCACATCTGTAACCATAGCAGCGGCATAGTAACAGCATAGTAACTGTTACATTGGAGACAATTTAGGATATTTTTTTAATTATCTATACCACCGGGTTCGCACAAAATGCCTTTCAAACATACAGAAAGGTGCAGTGCAAATAGGAAAGAGGGAAGAAACCATTCTTCTGTATACATATACATGTACGTGTACTATGCTACATAATCATTGATTTGTATTACACAAAATGCATGGCATGCCGCCTAGGTTGATAATTAGGACAACAAGAAAGGATTGAAGTCAAATCCTACATAATGAACATCACTGATATGATGTACAATGTCCGTCAAGATATCCAAAACCAAAGAGTAAGCATATGAAGCACACATGAACAGAGACTGAAAGAGCTGAAGAAAGACGTGAGGTCTAGACAAGGGCTCCGCTGCATTGCAGTGGCGTCTTGGCCTTACGCGATCTTGATGCAAGACGTGCTGATGGTCACAAAGAGACTCTTTCCAGGCGTCAAGCGACTTGCAAACTTATCGCTTGCTCTTGCAGTGAGGAAGGCAACCAACCGCACCTTGTTCTTGCCCTTAGACAGATTTTTTGCACCATATGCTATTGTGGCGCATCGTGATACCAATCATGAATGGCAGCAAATTTATCATTAATCAGTTGCCTAATGGGTCGGTCCGTTGCCGAGAACGTCACCTTTGGGGACTGTGGAATGACCCGCGACACCGGCAACGTTAACATGATAATGCTCATCTTCCACAAAAACAAAACAAAAAACAGTGCTATGATAAACTACCTCCAGTCACCAGAAACAAATACAGTGCATTACGCATATGGACAGAGATTACACTAGTACATGACTGTATACCAATCGTAGAGTAACAAAACAAGAAAGATGGAAGTTATCGGGTCTATACCATCAGAGTTGGCAGCTATATGTACAGTCAACTTCGCTTATAACGACACTCGGCGGGGCATCAAAAAGGTGTCCTTTTTCGCGAAGTGTTGTTATACCCGAAGTCTCATTATATGAATTACAGTGGGATGGGACTTTGCTCTGGGCATGGAAATTCTGTCGTTATTTGCGAATTGTCGTTATGTCCGCAGTCGTTATTAGCGAAGTTGACTGTATTGGATTCTCCTGGTGTGCAGAATGACGCTGGGAGTGTGGTTGATATCCACTGTTGGTTTGCTGTCGTCAGTGTCAATCGCAGTACCTTCACTCTTTCATGTATAATACCTTTTATGCTCCGCACGACTTGGACCACAACACCATAGATATCCACACGAAATGGTAATAAATCAAAGAGGCCTTCTTCATTGCAGTTGGCGCAATATATTAACGGGATCGCGTCTTCAGCGTTTCCGACCTCCAAACTGTTATAATCATTATAGCTGGCCAGCCTGCTGTTTATTGGCAGACAAGAATTGCGCTGCTTCTTCAAATAGGCAGTTTATTGAGGTCTGTCCATGACATATTCAGCATTGCTGTGCGTGGAAGGAAAGGTGCAACTTAAGACTGCTGCTGGCCATAGCCAGCAAACTGCAACCGTAATCTGGGCTTCGGCTGCCACAGGTACATTGACAGAGAGATAGCCGCATACTGCACATACTGCAAACTACTGACTTTATGCCATTGCCTCATGGATCAGAAGTCACCACACTGAAAGAAGAACAGCAGAGGAAAACAGAACTGATGCAGTCAGCAACAAAATTGCTCCTTCACTTCATTCGACGAATTTGGTAGTCGTGCAATGCAAGAAAAAAGTCAGAGAGCAGGAGACCTATTTATTTAATGGGCAAGCACCAGTGCTTTGATGCCCATAATAAAATTTTGATGCTCAGAATTTCACCACAATCATACACGTATACTGACATATCTACACGATGCGACCAAGTACTCCACAAATTCAGAAAAAAACTAGTACTTCACGAAGTAGTGGTTGCGACTTCGGCGATGATTTGTAAGAAAGGTTTGCTCCCCACACCGGAGCTCGCGCTATTCCGCCGACTTTACTTGACACTTGACTGACTCACGACTGCCATCCAGAGCACACGAGAAGTCCATCGAACCTTCGACTCGGCAAACCTGCAAGAAAGCACCACTCCCTGCTCAATACACAGTGTTTCGGGGAATTCACCCCTCATCAGTTGAGCTTGAGTAGGCTGAGGAAGATTGTGCCTGAAGAGCACCACTTATATAGTGCTCTCCAGGCACAAACATCACCAGGGATACAAACTTACAGAGACGCTCCGCTTCCAGCGCGATAAACACCTCGTGAACACCAGATAGCAGCGTGAGTCAGTGTCGCAACCACTACTTCGTACTGTTGTGCCCAGCGCGGGCTTGCGACTAGTTAGTTTGGAGGTGACAGCGTTGCGAATGACCGAGGGTCCTCGACGTCTGTCTCACCGTCCAGGAGCGACACTGACTCACGCTGCTATCTGGTGTTCACGAGGTGTTTGTCGCGCTGGAAGCGGAGCGTCTCTGTAAGTTTGTATCCCTGGTGATGTTTGTGCCTGGAGAGCACTATATAAGTGGTGCTCTTCAGGCACAATCTTCCTCACCCTACTCAAGCTCAACTGATGAGGGGTGAATTCCCCGAAACACTGTGTATTGAGCAGGGAGTGGTGCTTTCTTGCAGGTTTGCCGAGTCGAAGGTTCGATGGACTTCTCGTGTGCTCTGGATGGCAGTCGTAAGTCAGTCAAGTGTCAAGTAAAGTCGGCGGAATAGCGCGAGCTCCGGTGTGGGGAGCAAACCTTTCTAACTAGTACTTCAGTTGGTGAAATAGTCCACCTCTGTCCCCTAAACTCAAATGCCCCTGTAACGCTGATAAAGGATAGGTAGATGCTCACTCAGAGTGGTGTTTGAAAAGTACCGAAACCAGTCGTGACGAATTAGAGCATGCTCAATTGTCTCTTCTCATAAAATGACAATACTGCCTGTACGTGTTTTTTCGGGTGTATTTGTGGGGCACATAGGTATCACTCTAATTCCTCATGCATCCGAAAGATAAGGCTTTGGTCCATCACCCCACAAAGCGGTTTTAGTGTCTGCGTTGAGTAAGCGCCTTACCTGGTGTGAAATTGGTGACCATAATCCTCGCTTCGGCAATTACAAAAATGAAACATTCATCCCAGATGGCTGCTCACGAACTGCAAGCTCCAAAATAATTTTCCAGGTTACTTGCATAGTTGTCAACATTACTCCGAACCATCTCTTCAGTGGAGGAAAGGTCTCCTGACGACACTAGAAGGGCTCTAAGCAGCAAATTTCTTTGAAGTATTCGCCATTTGGAGATAGAGAAAATCAACAGAAAACAAGCCCATACGGCGCCTTGGAGGCTACGATTCCCA